GGGTGGAGAGGGAGGTGGGAGGGGGGACCGGGATGGGGAATACATGTAAATCCATGGCTAATTCATTTCAATGTATGACAAAAACCACTGCAATGTTGTAAAGTAATTAGCCTCCAACAAATAAAAATAAATGGAAGAAAAAAAAATTAAAAAAAAAAAGAAATTACCCTTCAAAAGTAAAGGAGAAATAAAGATGTGTTAAGGCAAACAATAGACCTTCCTTAACAGAAATGTTAAATGAAGTTCTTCAGAGAGAAGGAAAATGGTATAGGGCAGAAACTCAGATCTACACAAAGAATGAAAGAGCATTAGGGAAGGAATAAATGAAGGTAAAGTAATACCTTTTATTTCCTTATTCTGAGTTGACCTAGGAGAAAACAGTTGTTAAAAGTAATAACATCAACAATGCATTCAGCAATTATAGCTTATGGATAAGTGAAATTAATTGACAACAATATGATAAGAGACAGGAAGGAGAAATTGGAAAATTCTGTTAAAAGGTATTATACTTGCATTACCCATGAAGCAGTCATGAAGCAACAGAGTATTATTTGAATGTGAACTTTTATTAGCTGTAAATGTATATTGCAAATTCTAGGGCAACTAACTAGACAACTTTAAAAAGAAGTATAATTGATACACTAAGAGAGAAAATGGAATCACATAAAATGCTTAGTTAAAATCAAAAGACAGAAAACGAATGGAATAAAAAAAAAGGCAATGAATGGAAAACATACAAACTTCTTGACTAATATAGGGTATAGGGGAGTGTGGGAACAGAGGAAACTACAGGGTTCTGATGCTTAAAAAAAAAAAAAAAGTGTCCAAACCTACAGCTTTAGAAAAAAAGGGGGATCTTTGAAGTCTTTCCCCTGATGCTCTCCCCCTATACAATGCTTAACTCTTTAAAGAATTAGGAATGGTAGTTTCTACTTTGAATATACTTTCTGGGATGGTAGTAAAGTGGAAGTCCAATGCTTCGAATCTGCTAACCCAGATCACAGTCCTTGGAGTTTCTGAGTCCCAAGGCAAACAGATGATGAAGGTTCATCCTCCCAGACGACTTCTTACAGATTCTCCTTTCCCTCTAGGAAAGAAGATACGTAGATGTCTGTCTGTGTTCTCTCTGCTACAAGTGGGTGTGTTAGTCGCTCAGTCATGTCCGACTCTTTGCAACCCCATGGTCTGTAGCCCACCAGGCTCCTCTGTCCATGGAATTCTCCAGGCAAGAACACTGGAGTGGGTTGCCATGCCCTCCTCCAGGGGATCTTCCCGACCCAGGGATTGAACCCAGGTCTCCCGCATTGCAGGCAGATTTGTTACTGTCTCTAGTTAATAAGGGGGCTTTTGCCTTTTAAAACTCTTCTCTTGCTACCCTAACATTTTATCACACAGACAACTAGGATGTCCATTAAAGAGAGGGATTCCTGGGTTCTGCCCAAGAACTACTGAATCAAACTCTCAAGAGAGTGAGCCGAGGAATCTGCACTGCTAGCAAATGTTACAGTGAGTCTGACGCACACTGAAGTTTGAGAGCCACACAGATTTAATATACAGCTTCTTTAGAGTTGGGAATAGCGATAGGGACAAGATGAGGAAGGCTCTTCCCTCTATATTTTGGGTCAATTAATTGCTAGGAATATCCCTAACCACTTGCTGAATGTATCTGCCAACCAAATACAGCTAACCCTTGAACAACACAGAGGTGAGGGTCACTGAACCTCCCTCCATAAAGTTGAAATTCTCTGTATATCTTATAGCAGGTCCCCGTATCCGTGGTTCCTCCATATATGCAGTTCTGCACCTGTGGATTCAACCAGCCACAGATTCTGGAGTACTGTAATGTTTACTATTGACAAATATCTGCATATAAGTGGAACTGTATAGTTCAAATCCATGTTGTACAACGGTCAACTGTATACTGAATGGTCAAGGAAAATTTTTGTTAAAAGACTATTTAAGGAGCAAAACATGGTTCCTTCAGGTCTGTGATAAAACATTTTGATTCTTCTGAGATAGAATTTGTTTTATTCTAAATGAGTTAAAGGTTTTCTTTTTTATAGTCTTATATGTTATGTGTAGATCATGGCATCTGGTCCCATCTCTGGGAGGGATTGGGGGCAGGAGGAGAAGGGGGCGACAGGATGAGATGGTTGGATGGCATCACCAACTCAATGGACATGAGTTTGGGTAAACTCCGGGAGTTAGTGATGGACAGGGAGGCCTGGCGTGCTGCGATTCATGGGGTCGCAAAGAGTCGGACACGACTGAACGACTGAACTGAACTGATGTTATGTGTACAGAAGAGCTGTAATTTTTAAACTATGGAAGTAAAGCCAAACTTTATTTAGATGACAGGCTTGCTCTAAAGCAGACTATAAAAAAATCCTCTAAAGCAGACTATCAAAAAATCACTTGTGCTTCCATGTTAGTTAAAACTTGGTTTAAAGAGTTCCTGCAAAGAAAAAAGAAGAAATGACTGAAACATAATCAGTGAGAGAAAATTTAAATTCAAAACAACAACAAAAACTTAAAGTTGTAAGAAGGATCAAAAAAGTTAACAAAAGAGTCAGCACACCCTAATGTTGGAGGCAGTGCAATGTTGATCTAAGGGGTAAGAGAATTGACAGGAGCACGGTGGTTAAGGATAAATCTTAAAAGAAGAGAGATGAGCAGGCTAAGAGCATAAAGGCCTGATCATCATACCCTTCCAAGAACCAGAAAACTAAGGATTTTGAGAAACAAAAATCTAAGCTACAAAACAGAAGATAAATGGGACTTTGACTGGGTCCCTGAGTATCAGCTCAATGGGTTGCACAGATATTACATTGCACTAGTAATACTACTGTCTAAGGGCATTGTTAAAAACTCGAACATTAGTATCTGATCAAAACTGTATAATCACATCAGCATCTGTATGAGAAAAGGACCCCAGCTTGATTTTCAGTTATTAATTATCAGCTCCTTCTTGTATTCCCATCTTGGGAAAATGGAACTTAGAAAAACTCAGCTCGCAAAACCTTGGAAAACTGAGCCCACTCTTCTATAAATGTTCTTTGTGGAAAAGAAAACTAGATAAGGAGTAGATAGAAGCAATAAATGATCATTTCCCAGGGGCCTTCCTCTGCAGGAGACTGCGCCATTCAAAGGGAAGGCAACTTACTCCTGCCTATTAATTTGTTAGTGGAGAGTGTAAGTAGAGGTGTGTGTGTGTGTACTCATTGTGCAGACGTCCATGTGCATTAGTGTGTGCGTCAAAGGGACATGGATGGGACTGATTAATTCAGTCTATGAACTTCTATTGTACCTAGCAGCAGGGTATACACTCCCATGAGTACTGTCAGTCTGGAAATGGTATGCAGTGTTGGGTATATGTCATAGTCTTTCCTCCTCAGCAAAAGAGAAGAAAACAGAGACAAAGAAATGGGACACCTACACTCTGAAATTCTCCTAACTTGGGGGTCAGAGCAGGTGGGAGGGAGTCAGTCCTCATTCCTTTCTGCCCTCTCCAGATGGCCAGGTGAGAGACAGAGTTCTAACAACAAGGAAGAAAGAACTGAAATCGGACGGTCACTTGACACTCACTCTGGATGTTGTGGGAAGATACAGTCTTTTTCACAGACAGAGTGGAAGCAGTAGACTTGAAATTTGTAAAAGATGGAGTGGCTGCACGGAAATAAGAGAAACGGTGAGGTAACATTAGCAAAGCCCTCTGAAATTAATCTGTGACAGAAGGTAACAGAGCAACCCTGGAAGCAAAGAACAAAACATACCTGCAAACAACTTTCTTTCTAGTTCCTCTTGAATTTTAAGAAGAATCCTTTCCTGTTCTAAGGCTTCTATGTACTTTGAGTAGCACCAGGTTGGCTACAAAAAAAATTTGCAAAATTAATTTTAGAGATATCTGCCCCAGGAAATAAACTGAAGGTAAGACAGCTTATATCAGCCCCTTCATTTAAAGGCCTTAATGTCAAAGAACAGAATATAGAAAACATGCACATTTCACACATTTATAATTAGATGAATTTTCACAGAGCTTACTGATTTAACCTGGGTATGACTAACTGTCATTGATCGACATTTATATAGATATATTTATGATGAAGTAAAGGTATTTCTCTTTAGCCTTGACCTAAATTTTAATAATTTAATTTTTCTTCTAGTTTTGTTAAGATATAATCAACGTATAGCACTGTTTAAGCTAAAGGTATATAATAATAATGATTTGACATACACATTATGAAAGGATCACAAGAGGTTTAAAAAACACCTTTCATCACATATAGATGGAACATTAAAGAAACAAAAAAATTATTCCTTATGATGAGAAATCTTAGATTTAGTCTCTTAACAGTTTTCAGTTGTAACATACTATTTATATTTATATATAATATATATGTTAAAAATTAACAAAATAAATGAAATATAAAGATATTTTAATATATTTAAAGTATACATTTATCTGTCCCTTCTCCCCAACCTTTCCCCCAGCCACCATTAGCTCATTATAAGTCTGTTTCTGTCTTGCACATAAGTTCATCCGTATCATATCTTTTTAGATTCCACAAGTAAGGGGTGTCATACGATATTTCACCTTTTCTGTCTGACTTCACTCAGTATGACTCTCTCCAGTCCATCCATGTTGCTGCAAATGGCATTATTTCAATCTTTTTAATGGCTGAGTAATACGCCATTGTAAATATATACCACATCTTCTTTATCCATTCCTCTGCTGGTGGACATTTAGACTGCTTCCATGTCTTAGTTACTGTAAACAGTGCTGCAATGCACATTCAGGTGCATGAATCATTTCGGACCATGTTTTTCTCCAGATATACGTCCAGCAGTGGGATTGTAGGACCATACGGTAGCTCTGTTTTTAGTTTTTTAAGGAACCTTCATACTTTTCTCCACAGTGGTTGTATCAATTTACATTCCCACTAACAGTGCAGGAAGGTTTGCTTCTCTCCACACCCTCTCCAGCATTTATTGTTTGTGGACTTTTTGATAATAGCTACTCTGGCAGGTATGAGGTGATATGGTGTTGTACTTTTGATTTGCATTGCATTAGCAGTGCTGAACATCTTTTCATGTCTTTAATGGCCATCTGTATATCTTTGGGGAAGTGTCTATAAGTTCTTCTGCCCGTTTTTTTGAGTGGGCTGTTTGTTTTGATGCTGTTGAGCATGTGTTGTTGTTGTTCAGTCACTAAGTCCTGTCTGACTCCTTCAACCCCATGAACTGCAGCATGCCAGGCTTCCCTGTCTTTCACTATCTCCTGGAGTTTGCTCAAACTTATGTCCATTGAGTCAGTGTTGCCATCCAACCATCTCATCCTCCCCTGCCCCCTTCTCCTCCCGCCCTCAATCTTGCCCAGCATCAGGGCCTTTTCCATGAGTCAGCTCTTCACATCAGGAAGCCAGAACACTGGAGCTTCAGCTTTACCATCAGTCCTTCCAATGAACATTCAGGGTTGATTTCCTTTAGGATTGACTGGTTTGATCTCCTTGCAGTCCAAAGGACTCTCAAGAGTCTTCTCTAGCACCACAATTCAAAAGCATCAGTTCTTCATCACTCAGCCTTTTTTTTTTTTTTTTTCACTCAGCCTTTTCTGTATAGTTCTTCTGTGTATTCTTGCCACCTCTTCTTAATTGCTTGTGCTTCTGTTTGGTTCTTGCCGTTGCTGTCCTTTATCATGCACATCCTCACATGAAATGTCCCCTTGATATCTCCAATTTTCTTGAAGAGATATCTAGGCTTTTCCATTCTATTATTTTTCCTCTATTTCTTTGCACTGTTCACTTAAGAAAGTTTTCTTATCTCTCCTTGCTATTCTCTTGAATTCTGCATTCAGTTGGGTATATCTTTCCCTTTCTCCTTTGTCTTTTGCTTCTCTTCTTTTCTCAGTTATTTGTAAGGCCTCCTCAGACAACCCTTTGGCTTCTTGCATTACTTTTCTTGGGGATGGTTTTGGTCACCACCTCCTGTACAATGTTACAAACTTCTGTCCACAATTCTTCAGGCATTCATTCTACCAGATCTAATCTCCTGAGTCTATTTGTCACCCCCACTGTATACTCATAAGGGATTTGATATAGGTCACACCTAAATGGTCTAGTGGTTTTCCTACTTTCTTCAACTTAAGCTGGAATTTGGCAATAAGAAGCTCATGATCTAAGCCATAGTCAGCTCCAGATCTTGTTTTTGCTAACTGTATAGAGCTTCTCCATCTTCGTCTGCAAAGAATATAATTAATCTGATTTCTGTGTTGACCATCTGGTGATGTCCATGTGTAGAGTCTTCTCTTATGTCGTTGAAAAAGGGTGTTTGCTATGACCAATGCATTCTCTTGGCAAAACTCTTGTTAACCTTTCCGCTGCTTCATCTTGTACTCCAAGGCCAAACTTACCTGTTACTTCAGGTACCTCTTGACTTCCTATTTTTGCATTCCAATTCCCTATGATGAAAGGGACATCTTTGGTGTGAGTTGTAGAAGGTTTGTAGGTCTTCCTAGAACCGTTCAACTTCAGCTTCTTTGGCATTTAGTGGTTGGGGCATAGACTTGGATTACCGTGATACTGAGCAGTTTACCAGCTGTTTGTAAAATTTGGAGACTAATCCCTTATCAGTCACATCATTAGCGCATATTTTCTCCCAATCTGTGGATTGTCTTTTCATTTTGTTTATTGTTCCATTTACTCTGCAAAAGCTTTGGAGTTTAAGTAGGTCCCATTAGTTTATTTTTGTTTTTATTTCCCTTATTCTGGGAGATAGACAAAAAAGATATTCTTATGATTTATGTCAGAGTTTTCTGCTTATGTTTTCCTCTAGGACTCTTATACTGTCTGGTCTCACATTTAGGTCTTTAATCCATTTTGAGCTTACTTTTGTGTGTGGAGTTAGATCTAATTGCTTTTTTTTTTTTTCACATGTAGCTATCCAGTTTGCCCAGCAACATTTGTGGAAGAGACTTCTTCTCCCCTTATTTTTACACTGTGTTTCTGAAACTTAATGCCAGTCATTTGCTAATAAATGTTCTTCTAAATGGCATTAGGTATCACACACTTTTAAATATATATTTTTCAATATATGGCTTCACAAAATTGGACTTTTATCTCAATAATAGCTTCATAATCTATCAGTTATTTTAGCTGGGAGGCTGAACATATTTGACATTTCAAGTATCAGAAGGATTGTTTCTTAAGCTAGTATTAGCCTATGATACAAACACTTTTTGTATCAGTCTTTAAAAATGTACATAAGTTAAACTTATAAAATTTCTGGGACATTATATTAATGTATGTTATAAATATAAACATAAAAATTGTATATATATTAGTTACTGATCATGTATTATCAAAAAGATATATTAGCTATTGATCACATATGTACATATATTACTTTTTGATCAATTTTATGACCACTTAAAATAATTTTAAAAATTGATACTAGCATTCGACATTCTTCTTTCTTCTCTTGACCTAAGAATATATCAACCTACATATATTCTTATATATACGATTATCTCTTTTCCAATAAGATAGTTATCTCAACTTCTGCCACTAAAAGCTTCTTCATATGTATCCAGAAATTATTTTCTCTGTCATGGGGTCACAAGGAGTCGGACATGAATGAGCGACTGAACTGAACTGTCTGAAAAATGACTCAGCTATTGCATTACACTATCCAATGCTCTAGAGAAGAAGCGATATCTTTGATATCTTTCCTGCTTACCTGTCGGCCGTATGCTTGCATGCCTAAACCTGGGTCACTAGTTAAAGTAGCTGTTTTGATAGCAGATCCTGTGGTACTTGAATATTGTTTGATTCCATCCTGTAATTATATTAAATTAAATTATTCTAAAAAGGGGGTTATTAGGACACTTACTACTACAATAAGATAATAATATCCTTATGCCATGTAGTATGCTTCACATACTATATTTAATTCTACTCTGTTATATAAGTTTTCTTACTATTTCATCTCATAGGAAAAAAAATGAGGTTTTGGGAAGTGAAGTGGTTTCCCTGAGGTATTAGAACTGATCAATGGTAAGGCCAGGATTCAAAACTAGGTAGGCTCACTCCTATCTACTATAATATACTGTCTGGGATCAATAATACCTTACAATTGTATAGTTGAATACCCTACAAGTTCTTTTATCCATATCATTTCAATTAATCCATCTCATATCATATGAGATTAATATTATCATTATCAGTTGAAAGATAAAATTGAGATTAAGAGGGTTAAGAGTCATGCCTATGGTTACCTAGGTAAACCCAATGCTTTTCATAGTAAATGATTTTTTTCAGAAGATATATTTTCATGTTACAAAAAAATCATGAGTTTCCCATATTCACTTTTTCCAATATTTTCTCATATGTCTTCATTGACAATAGCATCTTGTAACAAACTTATACTCTATCGGTCTTCTTTACCTTATACTTTCTGTGTTAAAATAAATGCATGTGAGAAATCTGTTGTTACTAGTAAGTGATGGGAATACATTTACTGTATACAGTATGAATATTTAAATTAAAATTCCTATGTTTTCTTTAGGATTATTCACCCTACAAAATGATTGTCAATATTTGTACCTAACCATGTTAGCATTTACTAGTTGACAGATATAGACAGCTCAGAATATCACTTATGGACACTTGCATTTCCGTAACCGAAATGTAATATGGATGATACAAACGTACATTCTGGATTTTCTGGAGAGATAGTAATTTAAGATTTTCTCTACTCTCATTCACACTATATGTTCCAATTTTTGTTTCAGACAATATACTTACCAAAGCAAACTTTGGTAAAGAAAATACTTAGGATGACACTTAGAGAGCTGTGAAATTCTTCTTAAGAATTTGAGATACAGTAAGAGATCTTCTTTATATCCTCCTTATTTTTATAACCTTTATTCAATAAGTGTACATTGAGAGAACTCCCCAAGTAGTATGGTGGTAAAGAATCTGCCTGCCAGCCAATGCAGGAGACACAGGAGATGTGGGTTCAATCCCTGGGTGGGGAAAATTCCCTGGAGGAGGAAATGGCAACCCACTCCAGAATTCTTGCCTTGAAAATTCCATGGACAGAGGAGCCTGGTGGGCTACAGTCCTTAGGGTCACAAGTCAGACACAGCTGAGTGGGCACACATGCATACATTTAGAACTAATTGTTAAATTGTTGGTAAAGAATCTGCCTGTAATGTGGAGACCCTGGTTCGATTCCTGGGTCGGGAAGATCCGCTGGAGAAGGGATAGATTACCCACTCCAGTATTCTTGGGCTTCCCTTGTGGCTTAGTTGGTAAAGAATCTACCTGAAATGAGGGAGACCTAAATAGAGCTTACTATTTAAGACTAACTCAAATTAACCTTTTTTTTGAGATCCTTTACTTTCCCCCCACAAATAATTAATTACTAAATTTCTGGGATTTCAGTTTTTTGTTTATATTCTTTTCAGTTAAGTATATGTGTGTGTCTTTCTATCCTTACACTATATGTAAATTTTATATTCATATCCCTAGCACATATAAAAGGGATAAATAGATAATCAATAAAATTCTATGAAGTAGATGATCAATAAAAGTCTGGTGAAAGAAAGAAGAAAGGGATTAGGATAGGGAGCTTTTTTGAGAGACTATTTAGGCCACATTAGTAAAAAATGCAGCAGGCTCATATAAGACTCATCTGATTGGTGAAGTTATTCACATGCCACAGACATAATCAGAAAAAAACTCCAAACATACTTAAGTTAGACAACATTCTATTTTTTCCTCCCTAAATGAACCCTTGAAATATATTTTCTTCCTGAGCCTACCAAATTAGTATCACATTCATGTGGCTCAGTCAGACACATACTTGCCTCAAGGGTCTGAAGAAGGTAAATATGAGGATTTTTATTTAGTGAACTCTGTTTCTTGTCAGATTACATAGATTGGGCCAGATGCATAGTTGGTTTGAGGGATAAATCAGCTTTTGTATTATATGATCTATCACTTATTACCCAAACCACTGGAAGGGAAATAACTGCAGAAATTTTTAAAATAAATAATCTAAAACTAATTATATTTAAGTGTAATAACATTTCATTTCTATACATGAGCTGTGTGCTCAGTCATTCAGTTGTGTCTGACTCTTTGTGACCCCATGGACTGTAGCCCACCAGGCNGTGTCTGACTCTTTGTGACCCCATGGACTGTAGCCCATCAGGCTCCTCTGTCCATGGGATTTTCCAGGCAAGAATACTGGAGTGGGTTGCCATTTCCTCTTTCAGGAGACCTTCCCAACACAGGGATTGAACACATGTCTCTTGAGTCTCCTGCATCGGCAGGTGGATTCCTTACCACCAGCGCCACCTGGGAAGATACAAGTTGCTCATAAGCTGTATATGAGTAAATATTTGCCCTGTGATTAAAGAACTTTTAATACACCAGCAAAAATATATGAAGTCATACTGTGAAGAACTGATTCAGTGGAAGCAAGATTTTACAGACACCTCTTTCTATTTTCTTGCTCTTAGGCCTTCCCCAATTCCCACTCTATACTGGAAATACCCTCAATCTCCAGATGATAGAAAACATCAACTAAAGAGAAGCTTTTGAAAATCTGGTAATTTTTTGCAGTATCATTCATATAAAAATGTTATTATATACTACATACTTATTAAAATATTTCTAATAATAAGATATGAATAATAACAATACCACCAAAGATTAAGAGATGCAATGTTACCAGTACCTCTGCTCCCTTTGTGTCACCTTCCCAATCACATCATCTATCTCCACCCATCCTACAAAGGTAACCACTGTACTGAGTTTTGTGTTTATCATTCCTTTTTTTTAAAATATTTTACCACATTTGTATTGATTCTCTTTATATGAATTTTAACTTTATATAAGCAGAGTTGACTGGTTATATTTTTACAACTTTTCCAGTCAACAGTATATTCCTGATACATTGTCTATGTTTATTATTGTAGTATAGTTTATTTGTTTTCCATCACAGCACAATGTTCTACTACTTGAATTTATTTTTACCAATCTCCTGTTAATAGATATTTGGGTAGCTTCTTACTCTTTGCTTTTGAAAACATGGGTGCTATAAACCCTGTGCATGTCACCTGATATTTGTGTCCATAAATTACTCTAGGATATATGTATTTACAAGTAGATTTGATAAATTGAAGGCTAAGTGCATCTTTTAACTTACCAGATATAGTAAAATTATTTTCTAAAGTTCAATCTACACTCCCATCCATAGTGTATTAGAATTCTGACTACTCCCTATTATTGGTGGTTGAGAAAAATATAAGACATTTCAAAATGAGCAGAAAATAACAGGTGATATCCCATAAAACCACTGCAAGAATAAAACAAAATGAGAAGTCCAATATTTTAGTTGATAACAGTACTCTCCAAGAAATCCAATCATGATCATAAAACTCTAACATAGGAGCCCAAAATGGATAAAATATTCCTATACAAACATTTGCATATATGACATAAAACTCCAAATCATAAATGCAGAAACTCAGAACAGAAACAGATCAAAACATTTTAAAATGAAAATGTAAAATGACTGTTTACTGAACTTAAAAAAGATTGAAAAAAACAAAAATCTCTCAGAAATGAAGTACCCAAGGTATCATGAATACAGATCATAAAGAAAGTGTATATATACATATATATACACAAATATATGCAGCATTAATATAAATCCCCCTCTTCCAAACTTGGAAAAATATATAAACATACAGACTCAAGAACTTGAGCAATGCTCAAACAGAAACAACCCAAAGAAATCTGCATAAGACATATCATATTCAAAATTCTGAAAACTAAACAAAAGAAAAGAATCTTGAAAGCAGTGAGAAACAATAAAGGAAAAAGAAAGAACAAAATAAATCTTGGAATGTCGAAAAAGAAGAAAAATAGAGCAAAAGTAGGGGTAAATACAACAGACTTTTCCCTTTGAGTTTCCTGATTTATGTTCAACAGTTGAAGCAAAATTCATAAAATTGTCTGATGGGATTCTCAATATATGTTGAGAAGTATTTAAGATAACTGCAAACAGGTGAGGGGAAAGAGACTTAAAGGGAGGTAGTTTTGAGACCCAAAGTGGTAAAATGTCAGCACCAATAAATTGAGAAGTTATGCTTGTATAAGGTGATATCTAAAGCAACTGCTGAAACATCTAAACAGAGATACACCAAAATGAAATTCTAAGAGATGTTCAAGTAATACACAGGAATGTAAGACAAGGAAATAGAAAAAAGAAGAGAGGGAATAAGCAAAACAGAAAGTACAATGACAGATTTAAAAACTAACATATCAATAATTAAAGATGTATAGACTAAATATACCAATTAAAAGAAAGAGATTGGTGGAGTAGATTAAAAACAAAAACCAAACACTACCATAATCCAACTATATGCTGTCTACAGGAAACAATTCAAATATAATGATATAGGCATTAATGTAAACAGATGGAAAAAGATACCACGTGAAAATCAAGATACCAAGATGATACTATAGCTTTGGAGAAGTTTGGCAGTTCCTCGAAAGCAGCCAACAATTCAACTTCTAGGTCCCAAGAAAAATTAAAACATGTCTATATATATAAGGTTGTATAAGAATGTTCACAGCAGTATTATTAATAAAAGCCAAAAAGTGGAAACAAACCAATATATCAACTGATGAATGGAGAAGCAAAATGCATTGCAACCATACAGTGTAATATCAGTTAGCCACAAGAAGAATATAGTACTGACAACATGCTACAAAATAGACAAACCTTGAGAATACCATGTTAAGTGAAAGGAGCCAGTC